CACAAGAAGGTCGGGACCCGAATGATTGGCTGTTTGGGCAGTTCATGTAAAATTGGACAAAAGAAATATCGACAGAATGGCTATAAATGAGAAGAAGTGGTGTATATACTGTCTTGGATCACATGGGAATGAAAGTTGAGGAGTCCATTGTGAAGCACGGTCAGGAGCGAGGCATCTTGCCCCATTCTCGAACTCGATCAATGTACTTGACCATCTCAGGTGTGAAAGACAAACTATTAGATGCTTCCATCTCAGGATGCACGTCATGTGGAGATGAACATGACGCCCCGACGTTGTTCCTGATGGGGTGACGGCTCAGCAGTTGGCTGATGATTGATGGCTGACGTTAGGGTGGCACACAAGCGAGCTGGGGGGGTTTGTCTAGCCTAACTGAAATGTTGCTGTTGAAGTTTGTGATCCTGAGACATCCCAATTACAAGAACCAACATACTACGTCTAACATTAGTAGAAAACCATGGGGGAAAGAAAGGCAAGCACAAAAAAAAAATAGCCCGACGTGGGGGTCGAACCCACAACCTTGAGATAAACTTTGTTGTTGCTAAGAGTCTGGAAGTGATTAGTATAGACACATTTGTGGATTTTAGAAATCATTTACCTCACGCTCTGCCTAATTGAGCTAGCCGGGCGAATCTGACCCATGTTGAGTCATTAAAATATAAAACATCTTTTCATACCAAAGTTCGTGGTATGTGTCTTCGTTAATCATGACCATGATGTTTTAGCAGAAGCACAAGACTTCTAAAATACACAATAAAAGTAAAATCAAGATATGAAAAAAAACCCTCTCCTGATATGTACCAAGACTAACGGGTGGATAGGCCCGAAGCTTGGCGCAGAAATTTATGGCAGTTCTCAGATCCCCTTCCTCCTCCCCCCTTCTTCATTCCTCTATTTCTCTACCAATACTCACTCAAATTTAGGGAACAATGGATTCTAAACAGGGAAATAGACGCCGCGTCTGCCGAAAGTCTCATTCGATTGATCCTCCTTCTCCTGCGGCCTCACGAACGCCAAAAACGATGCTCGATACGCCGCGCCGTGCGCGCCTTCTTGCTGATGCACGCCACACAGCTGGCAAATTACCCCGTACGGAGCTATTTAAGATACATAATATAGCAAATCGAACTGGCTATCGAATCCTTAAAGAAGGAACTGCGCGCCGCAGCGAAAAAGTCCACAATCGAGGTCGCAAAAAGATACTTGCTCCATACGAATGCGAAGCTATCGAGGCTGTCGAAGATGCTAATTTTGGCTTTGCTTCGTCAAGTCATTTAAGGGTAGCAAGGACAATTGGTCTAGCTCATGGCTCCGAACGTGCAATTCAACAAAATATGAAGGATTTTGGTGTAGGGACCTATATGGCTGCACAGAAAAAAATGCTCTCACAATCACATATCGATGCCCGAATTATATAGGGATTTGACCGTCGATATTGGCAATTAGATGCATTTAAGAAGTTTCGATGGTGCGACGAGTCCCATTTCGCCACTTGCTTGCAACGACAGGCTCGAATTCATCGTCGAAAGGGTTATGAGGCTCGAAATGCCCTCTTGAAGACCCAATTTAGATTAAAACGCCAAAATCAATCTATACACGTATATGGCGTTGTTAGATAGAATTTCAAGGGTCAGCTCTACTTCTATACCGGCTCTGGTATAGGGGGACGGCTTGTTCAAGCTGATTATATGACTATTTTGAAAGAAATCGTCGCTCCTGATTGGGATAAAGATTGCATATTAATCGAAGATAACGACGGGCCTCATGGTACCAAGGGCAAGGGTCCTAACAAGGTCAAAGCACTCAAGGACCTTCTAGGGATCAAATGGGAGATGAACCCTGCTAATTCGCCTGATCTCAACCCCATTGAGACGATCTGGAGGATAATAAAGCAGCGCTTGAAGTCCAGGGGGGTCATCTTCGAAGAAGCTATTCTGCGCAGGGCTATTCAGGAGGAGTGGGATAAAATAACTCTGGATGAGATTAATAGGGCTATCTCAACAATGCCAGATAGAGTAGCTGCCCTAAATGAGCGAAATGGGCGCCCTATCCCCTACTAAATGGCTGTGTAGATAGCACGAATCTGAGAACTGCCATAAATTTCTGCGCCAAGCTTCGGCCTGACGTCCAAGCTGAAACCTTTGCTGGTTCGTCCCTGACCCGGCCCTGATCTAGCGCGAGTAATTTTGAAAACCTCTGTACACATCAGAGTATGTCGCCTTCCAGTGATCAATTCCTGTCAAACTGATGGCTAATCTTTATCCAGACTGCGGATTTAGGAGCATTGTTTTCTTTTTTTCTATCTTTGTTTCTTTCTTTTCCCAGATTGCCACTCTTTACTAATCCTACAGATCACAGACTAAGCAACGGGTATTCACGTGCAAAGAACTAGGTTACATCTGTTTTCTACTTTTCAAAGACTCGCAGGCAGAAGATTTGGTGCATGACAGAGAATCCGGGGTGAAAACAGCTGGATTGGTCAGATTTGGTGTATTTGTACGCTGGTTTTCCTGTTGGTTTTTGGTAGAGTACAGAGCTTTTCTGCATTTCGAAATCTCTCAATTTGATATTTCTTGTCCTCGTGCTTGTTGATTCAATCTACGGACGCTTTCTTACTCCGGTGCTTCTCTTTGCGTTCAGGTTTGATGACCGCTTTCAACTGCTAAGACCTGCTCGTTACTCTTGATTTTGTTCCCTTAGTCTCTCAGCCGTGGCTTATGGTGCAGCTGATTAGTAACTAAAGGTGCGCCAGCACGTCTGAGGTTAAGATACAAAATTACAGCCTGATGGTCATTCCGCCAGCGTCAAAGGCCTCGCCGCACTTGTGGAGTACTTGGCCTATAGCAAACCTGCAGTTTTGGATAGTCCCGATGACGAAGGAAGGACGCCCCTATCCTTAGCAGCAGAGCACGGCAATGGTTTTAAGGTCGCTGGGCTTCTAATCAAAACCGGAAAAGTAGACGTGGAGTCGGAGTCTGCTAATGGGTTGACACCTTTGCAGCATTCAGTTCAAAAGGGCAGCTGGGCGCTTACCAGAGTCCTGGTTATTGAGGGCGGGGCAGATATCTGGAAGGCAACCAAGTGAATCCGAATGGAACTCTGCAATTGACCGTGAAAGTGCCGGCGGGATCCCAAAAGTCATTTCTGGAGGGAATAGAAGATCTAGCGCGAGAGCTCAGAATCAAAATACGAGACACAGACCCACATCTTCTACCCTCCAGCTCAGGGCCCAGTAGACCGACTATACCAGCGGATACACAACCACCCAGCTTGCAGTGGAGGCCAAGGCCAGGAGGACCTTTCCTCCCTTGAAGCGAATTATTCTTGCGCTCAACACCTTCTGATCTTTCACTTACTACGTCCATGAATCTGAGGAGAAGACAGGGTGAGATAATAATCCCAGAAAGACAATATCAGGCTGATATGAAGCGCGAGATCAACTTACCCCTGATCCGACCGTGATCAACCCACAACCTACTTCACGTTACGTGCCACGGTCAGAGCAAAAAGCGGCAGGTCTACCAAGGCGGAAACATACTGAAGGGAATCACGGCGCAAAGTTTACTTGCATTGACCAGGAGACCGGGCATGATGTGGATACTCAGAATCACGGCCCGGATCAACGTGCAAAAAAGTCGGTCCCACAAAAGGAGCTGGAGTTAACTAAGATTATGATGAAAACAATCTCCAATATGTTACTTCGTGATTCTCAGAGAAAAGCTTATAAAATCAGCTATGACTGCCATTGGATGTTGCCAACAATTATGGAAGATCAATTCGACCCTGGAACAAAACTTTCTAATGTTGTCACCTTGACTGGAAATTGCAAGGATGCACAAGCAGCTACTTGCGCTGAATACATTTCCCAGTTCTGGCCACAAGCGGGGACTCTATTGCTTGAAGCAGTCGAACGCCTGATTTTAGACCGTAGCGAAAAGCAGAGCAAGTCCCATTCCACATGGAAACGCGTAAGACTTTGCAGCTTGGAAAATTGACTACGCAAAGGCAGGGTCCTATCCGGCGATTTTTCCATTACAACGACCAGGATGCCCAGTGAAATAGGTGGAGTATATGGCGCAAAGATATGTCCAACTTCTTTCGTAGTAGTGGCTTCTGCTCAGACACAAGTGGAGATCGCAGAAAACCCTATCCTGGCTCACGGCCGCAGTTCTCAGTTCGCATTCATTGTCAATGATGGCATCCAAGATCAAATTCAGTTCGCAGGACGCCAGTCAAAGCTGGGCAGAGTTTAGCGTAACGGTAGACCCTCTAGAGCCTTGTGAGGGTGACAACATGTGCTGGCACCCTCTTTTCAAAAACATCGTTCTTGCTGTTGGATTTGCTATCTCTGAAAGAGTCCAAGGCGTGAGTCTTGAGCTTCCGACTTCGCTAATGATGACCCTTGCTGGAACCATCATGGCTGTAAAGTTCCAGGATGGCTTTATTCTCAGAGGCCTGTCAACAGCGGTGATACCCACCAGAAAATGCGAGGCTGAAGAAGCCATCCAGTGGCATCTTTTCGTGGCTGATTCTGCTGATGGGTCTACCGACTTCGAGGATCCGAAACTTGGGGCTTACGATATCGGTTATATCAAGAAGGACACGAAAATGCTAATGGCCACAAAAAAAGCATATCTTGGTTGGTGCCACAAAGCAGAGGTATTGCTTGGCACAGAAAAATACGACTATGATGGTGTTGATTGGTCCCATGAGTCTCACAGATCGCCCTTGTTAGAATCTACAGGAGGTTCGCTCGGCATTTCCATTGGAGCTAGGGGAATAATGCAAGTCTCTGGTGCTATTAATGTCGAAATTGCAAGGAATCAGCAGACGACTTATGTCAATACCCCCCAGGATTTAGATAATCGCTTGAAATTATCTATTGAGAGGCCTTGCCTACTATACGATACTTCGAATCAGCGCGCTTGGCTTGTCCCTGTCACATGTTTGCTGTTGCTTATGATGCATTTGAGACGGCGTGAGTTGACAAAGGAGAATTCTGAGCCTTCAAGCCGCCTAGACATACCGTTTTCCAAGATAGTGGGGGAGGCGGGCTACGAAGCTTACAAGGTATTGTCTGAATACTCACGGTCACAGGAGACAACGGCTCTAGGTTCGTCAGCTAAATGGACAGAGTTACTGAGTCAATTTTACATTACTATTGATGAAGCTCAGAAAGCCTTCAACGCTCAAAAAGACAAAGCTTCTCGACAAAAAACCCCACATATATGGGGATATGATCTACTGGATATTGATCCTGGAGAATCACCGTATTCGAGGAGGATTAAAAAGCAGTCAGGTGGATGGACACAGATTGCGCAGAAGATCGGCTATGTATTATTCTGCTCCGGCCTTGGAGAGGCATTGAAGCCTGACGACGATGAAAACAAACTTTGCCAGCAGTGCTTAACAGTTCCTTCGCGATCTGATCATCTTTGCGCCTACGTTCCTTGCCTTGCTTATTTTCTTAAACGGCAGGGTAAACATAGGGAAACTCAACTACTTGGCGACCCGGGGTAGCAAGGAAACCTTTACAAGGAGTGTAGCCAGCGCGGAAGGCAGAGTTGCTTCGATACTCACCCTAGGACTTACGATAGTATAATCGAGTCAGCCAAGAAGCCTCGATGAACAAGTCTACCATTGCAAACGCGGCCACCTCCACAGTAGGTGGACACCAGGGAGATGTTAATGGAGCTATCATCTTTGGTCAGAAAACCAGCAAAATAATGCCCTTTCTAGGATGTTGTGCTCAGGCAAACCCCAGTTAAGGAGGAGGGGCCAGGCGTCAGAAATGTAGAGAAGAAGTCAATCGTTGATGGCGCGAATGGGACGTTAGTGCATAGAGGTATAGGAAGGAATTTACTCAACGGAGATATGGAAGAGAACCCAGTCTCTAGAAGTACGGAGAGTAATCCACCTCCCACAGGTATGGTGAGGATTCTGCCCCACAGAGGTGCAGGGAACTCAACGAGGCGAGTCCAACCACAAACCCATGGTATGACAGAGAATAGTGCTGGCGTCAACGTCAACGCAACGCAACGGCGTCAACCTCGTTGGAAATACGGGTGAGGAGAGGTCTCGGAGCGGGAGGATGTTTTCAAACGCTGTACGGATCAGCTACTACGTGTTCTATAGAAAATGGATATCTCTGTACAATCTATCTTTTTTTATCGCAAAGATTGTTTATATATACATCAATTTTATCTATCAAAGTTGAAAAATGTAAGACTTTACCGAAACAACAGTCCCCAGTTCAGTTCTCACCTTGTTCCAAACATGCGACGTGAGAAAACTTTATCAAAATCGAACCACAAAATGCCTCAGAAGCACCACATAGGCCAGGAGTCAAAAATCCTAATGAGGAGGCTAGAGTTTCTGGGGTGTAGCGACTGGGACGCCTCAGGACGCCGTGTCACTTGGAGAGGCATATGATGTACGAACCTTCTCCAACGACAGGATGTGACCACGCTTCATCCCCGACAGAATCAACTATTTTGAACATAGTCAACTATCCACATCTTCAGGTCCGGATCACTCCATACGAAAGCCAATCGTACATATGACCAATATCTCCCAGAAGGCACACTTTGTAGCCTTCCTTGATTGGTTTATTAGGCAAGTTTGACCTCAATTTGCTTCACAATACTAGTTATTGTTTCCACTTTCCATAAAAATGTCTCCACTCAACTTACCCAATATCAAACGGCGTAGCTGATGCGCCCATCGCCGACCGCGATGACGATGTCCCCAAACTTCTTATTGGGAAGGACGCCGTTGCGACAATAAGAGACAACGCCGAGAAGAACGATGAGGAGGGTAGAGACGTTGGCGACGGCGTAGGGGAGGAAGAGGTCCCGAGGGTCGTAGCTGTACCGATTTACGGGCTCCCAGCGGACGACTTTGGTGGTGGTGTTGTAGCTGATGATACTGCTAGTCAGTTTATAGATCTATTTACGGTGGGATGAAACAGGGACAAGAAAAAGGGTGTGTGGCAGAGGCTGGCTCACGTGAGAAGCTCGTTATGGAGCAGGCTGACTGTCGTGTTGAAGCTTAGCTCCTCGATCAAAATGTCTAGGGTACGGTTTTTCGCCAAGGCTTTGTCTTGCAGTCTTTGGCTGGACAGCTGAGTGGTATTGCCAGTGGGAGACCAGCCTTTATCTCTGTTTAAATCGAAGAAGACGTCGAGATCTGAGCTACCGAGAAGGCTGGTGTGCGCGATTGGCGTATCAATGAGGCCAAACTGGGTGAGATTACCAGAATTGGATTGATTCAACTCCTCGAACCAACTGAAGGCGCCAACCAACTGATCGGTTAGAGCCCACATAAATGCCGAGTATGAGTGTCGGGACATACCGGAGACGGGGTCTGGTCTCCCGGTGGGGAAGTGCACTTCTTCTAGAACCTCGTACGAATGTGTGACGTTTTGGAAAGCGCCATCCCATTCTAGCGTAAGATCGTAAGTAGCGTTATAGAGCTGACACACCTGGTAGTGTCGCTCTTTGATGCGATTACCCTCCAAACCGATAGCATATCTTAAAAATGTTATCCACAACTGATTTGTGGGATTGGAAGGGGCCTGCAACCGGGGTTTTGAGAGTGCTATCAAACCCCCTACGGCGTCGAATGCAGGAACAAAGGCATAATACACGTTATCCGTTTCATTGGCTGTCCCGTGGGGACTTGTCATTTTGTCTTGGAGCTGGCTATCTATGCGTGATGCAACTGACGAGTCCGCTTCGTCACATTGAACAATTGGACCGTAAAATTGAATCGAGTATGTTGAATGTCTGTATGGTGCCTTTATTGGGAGGATTTCGCCGAGAGAAGCCGTGGACGTAGAGATTAGGGTAAGAATAGTCCTTGGTCGAGCGAAAACTCCGCTGTTGTTGTCGCTTACTTGGGTTTTATTAATAGGTGGGGAATACGCGAACACGGAACTGGTACTGCCATTGGCAATGGCCAGATTTGGCACTGGCTGCTCAAGTTCGACGATTTTCGTGCTGGGAGTGATGAACAGGGTGGCTGGTGTGAAGAAAGAAGGAAGTGTGAGGCACCTCCCTACTTGTAAGTAAAACTTCATTCACCCGATCAGATGATATCGACTTTACCAGGCAAATAGTGCTATCGCAGATCCCAACTTAAACTTCCTGAGCATTTCAATATTCAGCAAAGAAAAGACGGAGGTGTCGGCGCCAAAAGCTGCATTAAGGCCTTTGACAGTCATCTCCATGTCGCTGACTGAACTCCATAAAATTTGAGTGTACGCGATCCACACACTTGCGGTAAGGGCTATTTGAGTCAAGAATGCAAATGCAGTGCCGAATCTGTGCTGCGAAAGTGGTCAATTAGTTAACTATCCTGGAAGGAGTTGCCCTCCCCTCTGCGAAAGCGATGATTTAAGGGGGAGAGATAGGCTGCTCGCCTTATGTTACGCTCTTGGTTGGATGAATCGGCCACGATAACACCATCGAGCAGATGATAAAAAATGCAATGTCCGATGCTCGTGCCCGAACCAATTACGAAAGAAGTCAGCAACGAAAGCGGGGACTTCCACCGGTGAATTCTATGACGATCCCCCAGGCCGTCACCTATCCACCGTGACAATCCGCTGCGCTGGGTGGTATCTCGTTCGGTGGGCGGCTGAAGGCCGGCCGTGTTTGTGACTCCGACCATGTTTGCATTCGAGGCTCGCAGGTTTATGCTGAAAGATCTGACTGCTCCAAACGCATGATACGAATGATGAAGGAATATCACAGCAATAGCAAATAGACTGCTCCATCGGGATGAGAAAACTGATACTCGGTGGGAAATTCTCCAGTTAGTTGGCAGCCTGATACGATGGCTACTCAATTCAGACCCTGGCCAGAAACAACGCCCCAACCCGGCTACCCTTTCAGAAAAGAGACTAATGCAAGGAGAATCCATAGGCTGTCTCATGATGGTTATTTTCACATGTGTTCCAGGGAGTCCTGCATCAAAACTTCTTTTTTCAGTGTACTGTTAGTAAGCTGTGGGGGCGCAGACATGGTCAGAGGGGCGGATGGCTGAAGCTCAACTGACACAGGCCTGTGAGCAAGGTCAAATGGTCGAAAGAAGGCCCTACCTATACTACCGAAAGGTGACTTCGAGAGCATTGATTTGGCTGGTCGGAGTGCCTTCCTAGGACCGACAGAGCCAATCAAACCACATCAGCTGCGATAAAAGGTGGACGACCACGTAATCAGAACATTGTGAATAAATCAGATTTGGTGGGCGTGTGCATCGGTGCTCTACATGTTTTAACGTCATGATAGAAATCACTCTTCGGCGGCACTGTTGAGAGAGGCGCTGTAGGCTTATAACCTGATGAAGTGGATGAGTAGAACTCCATCTACCTGCGCTAATGCTACAGCGCAGAGTGCGGTCACGTGATGCTAAGGATTTGGCTGTACATGTACGGCTAATTCTAACACCAGATGGTGGATAATAAGGTTCTCTTGGCACCCGCTCTGTAGACCAATCAAAAAAGATCGAATTTTACGACAGAGTGGTGGATAGCACAATCAGACTAAGAACTTGGGACCGACCTTCAAACCCCGGGCTACTCTGCGGGCTGCTCCTCCTGGGCATGCGGAACTGCAACTGAGTTGTCGTTGGATCCGTAGCCCGCTCTTTAGAGGCATCTAGCCAAGTCAGTTTCGACATTTCCCACTTCATCTGACTTTCCCGACCGTGACTCGCCCGACGTCGCCTGCGGCGAAGGGATCTTTTGTCCGGCAAATCCACCGCGTCGACTTGATTTGCCTCGTCAAATCCAATGCAATGCGTGCCCGGATTGAGCTGGGATTTATATACTCCAAATTGGTACGAGTGGTGTTTGAGTCTGAGCGCGGCTTCCATCTGCCAACGCTCATATACATAGCCCGGCGCGTCGTTGCGTTTGCGCCACGACAGCTCGAAAGCGTCAGACCGTAGGAGACTGCTAGCGTAGCACCATGAAATCAGGTCCGCAATCGCGCTGTAATTGCGGGGCAGGTGACGTTTCAGACCATTCTGGCATACTTCGAAGGGGATGAGGATGATGTATGATCCTAGATAGATCAAAGAGACGATAAGTAGGGGAATTGACACGTAGACGGTACGATGATCTTTTCCATCCACTACCGTGACCATGCCGGGTATAATGATTGGCAGTAACCGTTGAAGCAGGGATATTGCAGAGACTCTGGCGACCTTCCAGTGCTTGTTGGTGAAGGCTGTATATGTGGCAATACCTGGAGGAAGACAGGTGTAGTCCAGTAAGATGTTTTCCGTTGCAGGCTTTGGGTTGTCACGCATGCCGATGAACGGTTGAGTAGCTCGGCAGAACACGTCGGCGTCTTCCCAGAACCAGGTGTACAGACCGACAACGAATGCCGGCAAGAATTGAAACAAGAATAATGTAACGCCGTATGGTAAGGATACATCTATTCCAGAAGCCATATTGGTTATGGCGGCTGCGAGGAGTAGGCAAAATAACACCAACGCCACTGTCGTCCAAATAACCATCATTGAGCGCTCCATGTTGTAATAACAGGAGCGATAGCTGGCTTTCGACACCTCTTGCATGGATACTGAAATCACGTCTTTAGTACAAAAGACATTGACGACAAGGAGCAGAGGCACCTACAAGTAGCTGTTGTCCCCGCATTGCTGCTTTCCGCTTTCAAGGCCGAAAGACGAGATTGCGCCGAGTCAGCTGGATTGGGCTCAGAGGCGGTGGAAATGGGAGCAGGGGCTGGACCAGGAGCATTTCTCTGCACAGAACCTAGAAAACTTTGTAAACCTCGCGATCAGACAACACACCAAGTCATGAGCTTACCATGAAGGTCATGTTCAATCACTCCAAAACCATGCCAGATCCCAAGTGAACCCCGATCCCAATACTTCAATCGAAAATCATTACGCCGGAAACGCTCGTGTAGGCTATCGCGGGAAATAGCCCCTGTCCCATCAAACTTTGCAAGAAAATTCGAATGATGAAAGAGCACTAGATGGTCAGCAATTGACACAGGATCCCAAAGTAGGCCGGTCGTAACAGCTCTTAAATGCCACATCAGGGCTACCAGGCCCACTATCAGCAAGAAATAAATTGAAATAAGGGCATACAGAGCCCAAAAAGTGACAGCCGCCTCCCAGTAGTCGTCGTAATTAGTTGTATTGAGCAATACAGCTTTGAAGGCTAAGACAGCATTTGATAAAACCCACAGAATATATGTGAAGGTCAAGAGTCCGTTTCTATTTCGTATCATATTGAAAATTTCAGGGACCGGAAAATACTCCGCGAGAATTGTCCGATGTGCTGAGTTCTGCCAATTATAGACCGTAGGATCGTCTGAAGCACTCGCAATAAACGGCTCAATCCTGCTGACTGTTAAGACGATGGTACGCCATAAAGAAGCGGTAATTGTGCCTATTATCGGTGGTAGGATTCGAATAGTGAAATATCCATATTGACTGCTGAACGAAACATTGTGGACAAAAATAAGAGTAATAAGTAGACCCAGGACGATGAGATAAAATGTAAGTACGCATAGCATGCAACGAAAGCTGAGCATAATCGGCTTGTATTTGAGCTCTGGATAGCCCTTAGGAACAGATACGGGTCTAAAAACGTAGTCTGAACCTAAACGCAATTCAGTGATGCTCCCGTTCTTGCGTTGAATGACTAACGTTGCTGATCTTCTGCCATAATTACTCCAGGAAGACCTGCAGAAGAGGTCCCCGAGGTTTCTAGGGGCTGGTCGTTGGTCATAGTTCAAAGAGAGTAACGTTGAAGCATAAATGATCAGTGAGCTGAAAGACGGTTCATCGAGGTATAAGGAACGCGCAGGTAGCCCAGGTCGCAAACCTCCTAGATATGCAACCTCTTCGACCAAGCTGACAAAAGGCCAAAGACCTAACTTAGTTTTCCGTGGGTTGGGCACTGCCACCCCAACAGGTACGGGGTTTCTTGAAGCAATTGCGCATCGTAAGCCTTGTGGCGTTCTGCTTGGATTGTGAAGCAGAGGATGAGGCACATCGAATTCCTGTGAGTGCTATCGATGGTGAGAGTAGCATTTGGTCCATCTTTCTGCTGGCACAATGTGATTGGAAGTTTTCGGTGGCTGGGAGACTGGGAGCGCCGCGCGTAATTGGGGACAGCAAGGCGTTTGGAGTTAGGTGGCTTGCATTGGCATTCGTATCTGACAATGGAAATAATGAGAACTACTCCGTATGGCTTGGGATACCTGGCATTCAAGGTGGCTGAGCTCGAGGCTGCAGGTTTGGTCAAAAACTGAGTCATCACAAGTCCGCACTGGCGTTCAGTGAGCTGAACGGGAGCGCACTTGAGTACCACACATACCACATTGGGCTAGAAATACCGAACATCTTGAGCTGCAACCCCGTGCTTACAGAGTGAACAGCCCGAAATCATCAGGCTGTGATGATCCGGTTATGTCGAAAGGGGAATTCCAACCCCATGGCTGGACTTGGATCTCATATCTAGAGTTACAAGGCTCTGTGGTTCAAGCACCTCTCCCACAGACCGGAGGACCTTGTGATAAGTGCCGGTAAGGCAGTTGGGATCTGGCAATTTGGAGGGGCATACAGCTGGCACGGGGCGAGAAGTTCAAACATAATAGTAATCAGACCATTTCTCCCAAGAAGAAGCTACATCTCCAAAATTAGTTTGTCACAAATTTGCGGCTGCCCTAAGCGGCTCCCAGGGGAGGAAGGAAACTGCATGATTCAGTAGGCGGTTTGGTACGTAGCCTAGTTAATCAGTGTGGCTCAGGAATCGATCGAAAATCTAGAACTGGCTGGGCGCTATACCCGATCCTTTCGCCCAGAGGCTTAGTTGTTTCCTGAATTCTCCCTCCCGACTGCCTGTCCTATCTTCTCAGTCCCAAGATCAATTTCCAGGGTAGACACGCCTCTTCCTCCGCTCTAGATCAATAATGGACAGATGCTAGATCAGGCATATAATACCTGTACAAAACATCATAAGCTAGAGCTCGTCGAATGGATTGTATCTGGGAGTGGCTTGGTCAAGCATCAATACATCGAGAGACTCACTGCTTCAAGCTTGATACTCATGAGTAGCGCATATTGCAGCGTTCGGATCCTGACTTTGTATTGCTATGGTACATAGATCCTCGCTTTTCCCCGTTCACTGATCGCATTCCGGCGGGGCAAAAGGAGAGCAATATCAGCGATGTTGATGCTGAGCTATTACGCCCAACTCGTGGCAGATGAAAATATTGCCCAACTTCACAACGCATTGAGAGGGATTTTCGAGACGAAGAGGCGTCTGCCAATTTTCTGACGTGGGAACGACTGTGAACCTAAAACGTCATTTAAACTTGTTCATCAAGCCAGTTCTAATCTTCTACTGCCGGCTTGCATCCTTTGCGTAATCTTGTTTTACCCCACTCACGTTGTGTTAATGTGCAATCCAGAATGGGCTCCTCAAGCGAAGCGGAAGCATTTCTAAGACACAATTTCACCCACGTCGTCATCGGAGGGGTTACAGCCGGACTCGTTGTTGCAGCTCGTCTGTCAGAGAACCCCGCACTGACCGTGGGTATCATCGAAGCAGGCCCCGTCGCTATTGACGAACCAGCAATCAATATTCCCGGCCGCCTGAGCGAAACACTTTTCACGAAGTACGACTGGCAATTTGAGATAACACCGCAACCTGGGCTCAACGGCAGGAAACTCCCATGGAACCGGGGCAAAGTTCTAGGAGGCTCGAGCGCGCTAAACTTGCTGCTGTGGACCCGGGGCAGTAGGGAGGATTATGATGCTTGGGAGCAGTTAGGCAACGAGGGATGGGGCTGGGATGGTATACTGTCAGTGCTATCTCCCTCCGCTTTGCTTTTTTGGGGCACGTGTCTTCGTACACCGACCCTTTTCACAATAATTCCTTCATCCTCGTATTTCAGTAGCTTTTCAATGAGTGAAATGGCTTGCTGCCATACCTTTGGGTGGTTACTTCAAATAAGCTGACCAGTAATGTAGCCCCTTCTTCAAGAAAAGTGAATGTTTCCATGCTCCAAACAAGGAGTTCCAATCCCAGCACCAAGCGTACTGTGACCCCGACGCTCACGGCATTGATGGACCCCTCCATATCATCTACCCCCAAGAGTATGTAGCCTCACATCAATACTGGCACGCCACTCTGAACAAGCTCGGCGTGGAGACAAATCGTAGCCACGCGTCAGGGGAGAATGTTGGTTGTTGGACGTCACTTACCGGCATCGACCCGAATTCTCAGAGAAGATGTTATTCGGCGACTGCATACTACATGCCCGCTGCGAAGAGAGACAATCTCGTTCTGCTCTCCGAAGCCACTGTTCGAGAGATACTTCTGGAGAAGGACGATGACGACTGGATTGCAAAAGGTGTACGATTTGAACACAAGGGTAGTGAATATACTATTCGAGTAAGTGGCGAGATCGTCCTCAGTGCAGGAAGTGTGCAATCACCTCAGCTACTTGAACTATCTGGTATCGGCAACCCGGAGATACTCATAGCAGCGGGAATCGATGTCAAGATTGAAAACCCAAATGTGGGTGAAAATCTCCAAGAACACATGTGTAAGATTCAGGGCTTACCTGGCCTATTCATGGGATCGTCCTCTGACGAGACCTGCAGTAACGATGATGGTGTACGAGATCGATCCCTCAATAACCACCCCTGAAGCGCTCCGTAATGATTCAGCTCTCGCCAAAGCTGCTGACGAAGAATATATAGCCACCAAAACGGGTCCTCGAACCGCGGTCGGCAACTCAGCAGCTTATCTACCGTTCTCGCATTACATGTCAGCCTCAGATATCTCTGCTCTTGTCTCGAAACTCGCAGCCGCCTATCCCAACACCAGGCACCCACGGGAGCAGATACTCGTGCAACGCTTTGCCTCTGGAGACGGAGAGGCAGGCAAGATGGAGTTTCTTTTGGACGTTAGCAATTACAGCCCTTTTTTTGAGTCTCAGCCCAACAAGCGCTATGGAACCATGATGCAAATGCTCCAGTACCCGTTCTCGGTTGGCTCGATTCACATCCCGCCCGCCCCTTCTCGAGGACACCACACCACATCTGCTGATCAACCTGTCATCGACCCGAAGTATTATGCCGGGCCTGGCGGACACATCGACTTTCTCAGCATGGTTGCAGGACAGAGATTTGGGCACAGAATCTGCTCGACGCCGCCATTGGCGGACATTATCGTGGGGCGCGTTTTCCCACCGGCGCCGTCCAGCGAGAACGGCGACTCCGACGAGGATTTGTCGGACTGGGTCCGGAACACCACTATCACCGACTGGCATCCTGTAGGCACTTGTGCAATGGGTGGTAGTGGAGGGAAGGCTAACGGAGTGGTGGATAGCCGGCTGAGGGTGTATGGAGTCAAAGGCTTGAGAGTCGTAGATGCAAGCATCATGCCGTTGCAGATCAGTGCGCATCTGCAGGCGACCGTTTATGCTATTGGAGAGAAGGGCGCCAGTATGATTATGGAGGATTGGGAGGATTCGAAGGCATAAAGGGCTAACAATGCTGACGTTCTCTCTTCTTATGCCCCAGCGAGGTTGATTCAAAACTGGCAAATACATCATCTTAAACATATCTAGAACTGAGTACATTGAAGTCTTTCACCTTATGGTCATCATCCACTCTTTCTAAAATTGTGTGATAACGGGAAAGGGACTCTCGAACTGGCAGCACTCCATAGACGTTAAAAGATTACGCAGCACGGAGTTAAGCTTCAAAAGTTTTTAGCCCACAGATACTCTATAAGCTACTAGCATACTTTAGCTCAAAACAGTCTCCAAGGATCACTAATCATATAAAGGAGAGGTACTTACGGAGTAAGATAACTGTATTAGTCCCTGAACTGCGGGTTACTCTTCATTTTTAGAGCATCATCCAAAATTTTACCTTAGTTTCAAGGGGGGAATATCATTAAGCTGCAGCCAAAAACGCCTAAATTTTCTAGACTCTCTATAGAGCTAGCTCTATGGGTTAGACCCGATATGGCTAATTTTGACAACCACAGTTTAGTGTCAGTCAACTACTTCTGAACCACGATTTTGTACTCTGTTAAAGATTCAAGTGATGATGATCTTCTCATTAAGTTAGATAGAAAGCAGTGTGACAGCATTAAGAGGATCTTCGACTCCTGTCCAGATTCCACGCGGGCATAGGTTGAGATTGCAATTCCTACATGCTTAGGACGCAACACCTTCACTACGTCTCTTTGATATTAAAATGGAGAAGACTGATTTGCTGCGCGAGCCGATTTGTACCTGCATTAGCGTGAACCTACTACGTGCATCCAGTTTGCCGGGTCTTGAAGGTTCATTGGCCCCCAAGGTCAAGAACGCTAGCATTGGGTTCGCTTGTCGAGCCAGTGAAAGACGAGCATCTAGTTACCCAATGCGTTCATTGCAATTGCGGGAAATGAGCATGGTGTATTTTTGGACGCTTTTTACAATTGACAGTCATGCGCGACACTTTTCACCAAGCAAGCTGCACCAGCAGAGTCATATGGCCCCCCTTGCTGATCAAGTAGAAATAGGAAGGTGTAATCACCAAGTGCCCCTTGCGTCCGCACGGCTGCACCGGAGTCATGAGTATTAAAGGCCTCGACCTCATCTCTACCCATTGCACTATTGAGATCAATTGCCTCGCGACCTTCAGGATTCAGATTTTATCAATCACCAGCTCCTGCCTGTCAGAGATCAATCGCTTAGACCTCTAAAGGAGCTTCCGCGAACCCCAACTCAATATGTACACGATGAACAGAGTCACCATCTTTCTCTCCGCCATCACCCTCCTTACCCCCTTCACAAGTGCGAACCCTCTTCCGCGCGCCATCCCCATTCCCCTGGTACCCGCTGACCCTCCCAAACCCGCCAACGGCGACGGCATCGGTCCCTACGCCTCGCAAGATCCAGGCATGAGCGATCGCCTTTCCAAAGCGAAATTCTACACCGTCGCCGTCGCGGCGGGTGAGCTGGGCCTCACCAACGCCGAGCGTGGCATGCGACACTACCTCGGAAACTCCGGCGACGATCTGAACGTGACGCCAGAATCCATGATGAGCGGCCTGCCCCAGTTGCGGACTGCGGTCAAGGCCCTCGCGCAGAACGAGGCCGTTGCCGCCTACAAGAAGATATCCGGTGCGAGCGGGGAGAGGGCGTTTTCGAGCTCCTGGAATAACTTCTATGCCTCGAAAGATCAGAGCTGGGATTGGTATTTTGCCATCGGTGGGTTCTCGTACAGTGTTACCGGGGTGGTGACGAAGAAAAGTGGCGGTGGTTCGCTGAAGTATCGTGTGCATATTTTCGATCGGTACAATTGGGATGCGGGCAAGTCTGTGGATATTGGACCCTTTCACTTCGAGGATAGGGAGCTAGGAAATCTGCATCTGAAGGGGTTGGCGAGGGAGTACACGGTTCGTGGATCGGGTGGCGTGAATGAGGTGGAAAAGTTCACTCCGACGACCGTTATTCCGCCGCCTAGTACTGGAGGACGGAGCTAAATCGTATCTTGTGTATTGATGGGGTTAAACCATGTAACAAGCCCATATACCTACCGACTAGACCCATCGAGCCAATCCCAGGAAGCCCTCAGTCTCTCTTTGGCTGTAGTGTTAAGCAAGCATGCTCAGGGTAATTGCGGATCTGTCCATACGACTTTGTCAAGTGACCTGCTAAGTCTTCGGACATCTAATCCTGACTTTATCACCCTGTCCTTTCTCGAGCCAACCTCAATTTCCCTTTCTATCTGCTATTGAAGATTCCATTGAAAACCAAGTCATTCCATCCCCAGAAGCTAGGATTGATATATCTGCTATGTCCTCGACATCCATGTTACCAGAAACGATAGGGAGCGATGCAGAACCAGTCCCCTGCATTGAGAAGCATCCAGGTCACTGACAGCAATAAAAACATAGTAAGAGAACCTGTACGCACGCAGTAATGCTAAGAACACCACTTGAAACGAGGCCGCCAATGCTTTGCAATTGAAGACTTTTCCATGGACTGCGGAGAAGCATAGATGCAGCTGGTGAGAGGCTTTGTATCTGTCAATCAATATCCTTCCAAGCAGACGCGAGCATGGAGTATTGGCCGCCGGCCCCGGCCCAAGACAATTTCTTGTCGTCGATTGCGGAGCACTGAATCAAGGTTGCGAAGGAGATGTCATCATCATCTCCCTGCCCACACTGGTAATTAGCATTAAAGCCCCAGGAGTATGCCTTTCCATCTGAAGTGATGGCAATATTGTGGTCAGAGCCGGCGGCAGCGTAGACACAACCCAAAAGAGCAAGAGAGGTTGGTTGAAGCAGAACGCGTGGTCTTCCGTGGGCGGATAGCACTTTGTTGGGATCGTCAAGCGGGAGTTTCTGGATATCCAAACCCATTTGTGCACCATCAATACGTCCCCAAACGAGGCATTCGCCATCATGGGTGACGGCAACAGAATGATGAAGTCCACCCTCGATCATCTTTATATGCTTTCCAACAAAAGATGGGACCTTCCGTGGCGGGATGACAATGCTACCTCCCAGACCCACACCCTTGGTGACTCCGGTTTGACCGTAGTTGTTGGATCCCCAGGCCCATGTGTTGCCATTCGAATCGATGGCAAAGGCGTGGTCGGCTCCAGTATGGATGGAGGCAATACGGCTTCTAGGTATGGCTACACGAGTGGGAACAAGAGCCCTGATGCGACGACGCTCGACGAGGCGGCGGCCGAGTTGGCCTTGCTCGCCATTACCCCAGGAAAACACTTTTCCCTCTGCGTCAAGTGCGAGGCAAAAGTCATTGCCAACACTGAGCTGAACGATTCTTTTGAGGCCTGGAATAAGCATGGGCTCGCGTTGAACTTCAATAACCTCGTCATCGGGTTCAAGTAGAATCCGAAAACGCCTTTGCTATCCTGCAGGGAGCTGTTAGCTTAAGTAAAGTGGAAGTTGATAATAGCGAGGCATACGCGAAATGTGCCCCAACCATAGACAAAACCGCCTCAGTCAAAACACAAGTGGTGCTGTCGCCCGCCGCCACCTGCACAAATCTGGTGGCTGCAGAGAATCTGTCGGCAGGGATAGCGGCTGGATTCGACTCGAGTGGGTTCAAGTCAGGCTCGCTTTCATCCGAATCCGAGTCTCCTTCGCCGTTAACTTCTCGCATTGGGGCCTCCCAGGTGGTATCACGTCCCAGAGCGCTTAGATCATTCACCCCCCAGGTCAGGACTTTGTGGTCATGAGTCAGGGCGGCGGCATGCATCCCACCCGCGGCTAGGTTGACCACCCCAGCTGACTTCGGGTCAAGCAAGTGGTTGCGACGCGGTCTCTTCACCTCGATAGCATTCTTAGTTCCTAGGCCAAGCTCGCCAGCGCTGCCATCTCCAAACACAAATACTTCGAGTCTAGTGGGAATGGCGTTCAGCAAGGTTGTTGGGGTAGACGATGTTCCGCCTCTGGCACTTGTCTTCAAGGGTGGTTTAGCAACGTTTGCAGATGCTTTAACGCGCTTTGACAGGGGACTCGTGTCATCTTCCAGACTTCGCTTTTTCGAGGTCTTGGTCCTCTGTGTCGTTGCTGGAGTTCGTCGTACAGCCATATGAACAGTTCGGTGTGAATTACTCCCTCTCTTTCTAGAGCAGACAGGGAGTCGAAGAACAGCAAGGAGTGCATGAGTATGTAGGCGACAGACGCATTGACGGTAAGAAGCCGACAGAGGAACAACATACGCGTGTTTCGAGATGCAATACCCCTTACTGCTGCTCAAAATAGTTCCCACTATGGCAACCCTTTGCTCCCAAACTCTTCCAATTGAGTCCTTGTCCCATTGTCATTGGCTCGGAAGCATCAACATGAACTTGAAGCGAGGTAGAGCTTAGTTTATCCTTGGCACTTATGTTAGAACACGCTAATTAGTCAGGTCGAAAAGCTGGGTTGAAACATTTCCTCGTACTAGTATCGCATATCCATGTTACCTACAAGCAGCACTTCATACCTCGTTTGGAAAGTCGTCAATTCTCTTCGGACACATCAGATAGCTCAATGGTGCCCGGGTTGTGTGCCCATAGTCACCACCTAAAGCCTGCCCCCTTTGCGTGCGGACGGCTCGCCTGACGATGGTTTTCGAACTGCTCTTATCGACGCCACTGGAATGCTTCTGTTGGCGACGTGAACAGAGATCGTCCATGGAAAGATCCCCCTTGCGGTATCATCGTTCTATGAGCTTACAACCTCAGCGAGGATGTAGGTAGTCTAGGGGGCAGAATTCTACTACGTAAAATGACCATGATCTATGCGATGATGTGGGTAGTGGTCAGAAAATAACTCCCCTGACAAAAGTCGGATGACAGTGGTGGATATTGCGAGGAGAATATATATTTCAAGGAAGTTGCCCCATTGATCATCAATTCATCAATCCATCAAGATACCACTTCCCTTCATGCTTTGGACTTGAAGTGAATCACGTCAAAGGTGAAGACCTCTTATATTTCTCATCTGCTCTGCATTGTAGCTTCGGCCTTGACATGGAATGTCGCCCATGCGCACCCATCACGCGACTGGAGCCGAGAACTGGCAGAATTCGAAACACGTTTCATCAATACGATGGCTTACAGGCTCCACAACGACAGCATCAAGCTGATCGGCTTCAAAAAGATCGAGATCCCTCAACCAGAACGAGGAGAATTCGAAGACCATTACTTTGGCAACCACGCCGAGTGGAAGAAGATGGATTCCACTTACTACGACCCAAGTACTGGCACAATCCGCATTTATTTCCCTGTCGAAGCAGCGTTAGTCGAGCACAACGGCAGACTCATCGAAGCCAACCATCTTGGCGAACTAGACATGGAACAAGTCGACTCAGACCCGACTCGCTTGCTCAGAACAGAAAAGGGTAACTATCCCCTCCGCCGGCAGACAGGGGTTAGAATGCCTCAATTAGCATCGTCGATCTCGCTCATTAGAGCTTGCGATATCTTCCGTGAATCATATCTATATTGTTGCTGCTCAGAGATAGTACAAGTTCATGAGTTCTTGCTGAGGGGAGTGTTTCTGCCTGCTCTCAATATGCTTCCCACATGAGTCCAAGATACAATTGCAACTTCCGCAAGTTATTCCACTTCGTACGATCGTAGCCCAAAGCGTTTTAAGTTCAATTTATGCCGACTCATGTGATTGACAATAAAGATATTGGGGCATATTATGCATTGAGGGCTGGTTCATTACAAAAGCTACTATATCGAGATACGAAGTAATAGCTTCAGCATTTGCGAACTTCCTTAATCGCTTGTGCTTGCGTAGTACTAATCGATAACTTAACCTTAAATAATTCCTTAGCGTCGCAATCTGGGAATGAAGTTGGGGTGCAAATTTCTGTAGTCAAAGTTTGGCCATCTTAGAGAGGAGAACAGCAAAATTGTCGCCATGCCGAAACGGAAGCTTGGTGCTTTAGAGAAGGTTGATGCCGATCTGTTAGTGATTCAAAAACTCCATTGGGACTCTAATCTGACAAAGTCTACAGCCCAAACCTCCAGCATAAAATTCGAAGAGACCCAACGTGAGCGCGTTTTCTGCAAGACCTGCCGGGTCTTTCTGACTGCTCCAGATCCTACACTGAAGATTTCCGGGCTCAATACTACCAATATGAAAATCACAGGGAAATTTTCATGGCGGCGCCCACGTCAGCGACGGACACTGGCATCCTCTCCCTTCGAGACCTTATTGACTTTGTGTCACATGTCGCCGATTGCTATCCCGAGATCTCCAAGAGCTTTCCCCAAGAGCTTATCGATATCCTAACGCTACACCATACTATCTTAGAGCCTGAGCTCCGAGAAAAGATTGTTGGCAGTCTGGTGCTGCTAAGGAAAAAGAACATAATTGATTCTACAACGTATGGCCCGTACTTGAGTGTGCTAAGTGCGGTGCTGACATTATAAAAGCTTGCTTCAAACGTTCTTCCCAGTTCTCACGTCGACCCCCAGCAAAAATCTGCGGACACTGCTCTTTGGCAAAATCCTAAGCGATCTACGGACTTCCAATTCGAAAGCTACGAACCACAAACTCAATCGCACCATTCAGACAGTCCTTTACAATCTTCTCACCGGTGATAGGACTTCTTCAAAAGGTCTCTGGGCCGTGAAATTGACTCGGGAGCTTTGGCGACGGCAATTATGGACGGACGCAAAGACTGTAGAGATCATGAAAGAAGCTGCCTTGGCAGAGAACGAGAAGGTCATTGTTGGTGGTGTACGGTTCTTCCTTGGCGGTGACAAAGAGAGAGAGGAGTTTGAAGAAGACAGCAGTGATGACGATGGCATTGACGTAAGCAAGATTCGACATCAAGTGGGTATCAATAAGAAACGCAAGAAAGCTAGTAAGGCATTGAGCAAAGCTACAACTGCCGTGAAACGGAAAGAGAAGAAAAGGAATCAGCCACATCCGCTCAACTTCTCTGCTCTACATTTGCTTCATGATCCGCAAGGTTTCGCGGAGGTCTTGTTTTCCAAGCACTTACAAAACCCAAAGTCAAGGTTGAATCTTGAACAGAAATTGCTCGTCCTCCAACTCGTATCCCGTCTTATTGGTCTACACAAACTTACCGTGCTGAGTTTTTACTCGTACTTTCTCAAATATCTCACACCTCGACAACCCTCAGTCACAACATTCCTGGCATGCCTTGCCCAGTCAGTGCATAGCCTTGTCCCGCCAGATATTCTCGAGTCTTTGATTCAAAAGATCGCGAACGAATTCGTGTCCGAAGCAGCGGCTGCAGAAGTAGCATCATCTGGCCTCAATGCCATTCGAGAAATATGTGTCCGACAGCCGCTAGCTATGAATGACACGTTGTTACAAGACTTGGTCATGTACAAAAAGAGCAAGGACAAAGGTGTAATGATGGCGGCCAAAGGTCTGCTGGGCTTGTACAGGGAAGTGGGAGCAGATATGCTGAAGAAGCGTGACCGTGGGAAGGAGGCTGCGCTTGGTCTTCGCTCTGGGCAGCGGAAGCAACAAGTCTTTGGTGACATACCAGCCGGCGAAATTGAAGGCTTAGATCTTCTTGAGAAATGGAAAAAAGAAGAACGGCAACGAAAAAGACTAGAGAAAGGTCTCCCAGAGGAACGCAGTGACAATGAGGGAGAAGAGCAAGAGGAAGGAGAAGAAGAAGAAGAAGAAGAATGGGGTGCCTGGGACATTGAAGCTGATATCAGTGATGATTCGGGAGGTTGGATAGACGTCGAGAGTGACAAAGAGATCGAGATTAGCGACGAGGACGAAGAATCCGTCGAAAAGAAACGGGTAAAACTCGATGTTGACCTGGAAAATAAGGAGAATGATGCTCCGAACACAACGGAAACCAAACCATCAAATCTAGCAACGACTCGAATTCTTACACCTGCTGATTTTGCCAAACTACAAGAACTCCGCGCTCAAGCTGCAGTAAATCTGCATCTCCAGAAGAAGGGCCACAAGATCCACCACCCCACTGCGCAGTCTATTCCACTTACTAATTCACATCGACACATGGATGATCCTCTTACCGCTGCTGAGATCGAGGGACTAGCTTCTCTTTCCAAAGGCCGTACCTCGCGAGAGGAGAAGATTGCAGCCCAGGATGAATACAAGACGGATCGAGCCGAGCACAAAAGCAAAGCGGCCAGGAAGAAGGAGCGCAAAACTGACGAAGGCAAAAGTACCACAAACAAGGAGAAGGCTCGGAAAAAGAACTTTCTGATGACACTTGGTAAGGCGAAACAGAAGGGCAAGCGGAGTCTTGTTGAGACCAGAAAGGTACTGAAAGCTCATTCTGAAAGGGGCAAGAGAGGTGGTAAGAGAGGTAATAGATAAATTGGGGCATTGGGTCATTATGTTCATGCTGGGTGTATTCTAATAGGGCAACCAATAGCCAAATCGTTTACCGTGCTGCCATATTGATACTACCCGTTTTGACATGACAACGAGGAGGACTACTATTGTTGGCTTTGTACTACCAGTAGCCTTTTTCAAAAGATTAGATTACCGGGATGAATCGTTCTCTAGAAATTCAACCCACCTGAATGTCAATGGTTGATTGGGCTTAGACTTCGCACGGGCCCATTCCGCAGAGCCTCCCCAAAATGCTAATATTTTCCTCTCCTCAATTCACCTCCTGCATTCTCTTCCATATCTGATCAGATAGGTCATTTTACTACAACAGCCTTAGAATCTAGGAGACCACCTGTTGATTGACCTGGGATACCCTTTTTTGTGAGACGACCACCTTGTTTGTCTTCCTGTTTCTCATTGCCGTTCACACACGGGTGGATGTCAACCATTGTCCTTTCCTAGAGGTGCTTCCCACGAATGTCGACTTTCAAAGACGTATTGTAGGTGATGATTGACATGACAGTACATTTCGTTGCCGGTCAATATCGGCCTCAGTCGGTATGGCTTAGCTGCTGGTAAGACTATGTGATAACATGGCTCTGCTACCCAAGGGGCACGCGTCCCTGCGGCGGCTTGCTCCATTCTTGCGAATATGCTGCACCACTGGAAGGCTCCTGGAGTGTGTTGAAGGAAAGTAGGTAATCATGATCATGCATGCTCCTGCAGTCCTTGCTGGAAATCCTCGTGCATTGTAAAGGTAACTCCGTCCAGCAGAAGGCAGAATTTGAAACCTGGTTGTGCCTGCACATCCTCTGACAATAAGACGATTGTCTGAAGAGGGGAGAATCGTTCCTCTCCAGGCTTTCATGATCATTTCCCAACAACCCTCTGACATTGCTGCACGTTGATACCTTGTTCTATCAACTGCTTGCCGTTGACTGGTACAAATTCTGGATATGACAGAATCACACTTCCTGGAAATCCTGCCAGAGCGATTCTTGTTGGCTACTTGTCTCAGCTGCCACGTCTTGACCATGGCTCTGTTATTCAGCACAGCTTGAGAGGGATATATCAAAAGTGATTCTCATAACTGAACATCCTGGCTGCGGTATTGTGCAAAGACCTGGCCTTCTTGGAGTCAACGATGGCATCGCAGACAGGCTTCTGCAGAGATGGCTGTAGTTTCGACACGATGGACATTGATTGTAGCATGGCGTTTCGTATGGTGGAATCAACGATCAAAAGGATTATGAGTGGGCTTCGAGAGCGCAGAGAAAATGAGATGGCTTTTGCGGGCCTGATCAAAACCGATCTTGCGGTGTCAGCAGTGGTGCACTCACAACACAGGTGTTCCAAATTTCTCACCTCGGTCGCACCACACAGTAATGCATCCTCCTCATCACAAATTCCCTACTCGTATCCTTCGACAGCGCCACTGCTCCCCCAGCTTAGAAGCATCCTTCAGGGGCTGGAAGAGCTGTCACTGCAAGAATCTCCTCAAGCCGCATCGACACCGTTTGCCGCTCCCAGCAGAACAGGACAGGCTATCTCTGATCTTACAAGTGACGCGGTCACAGGTCCCACACATCACCCACTGACCACATTGTCATATCCTGAATTTCCAGATATTCAAGCTTCAGCGCTTTCCCATCATCGTAACCAAGCAAGGCGTGAATTGCATCGCAAAGCAAAAGGTAAGCTCGGACATTGTGACCGGTTGCCTGTTGTGGCTAAGTGGGTAACCATTGACATTCGATACCAGCGAACACATTTTCATCTCTCCCAGAAACTCGAAATTGTGAGTCGCGCAAACGAGCAGAATCTGTGGCCGAGTATCGAAGAGCTGTGAGTAAGATACCTACCTTTTGAACGCCACTCAACGAGAAAATGGCTGACCTCTAGGACCGCCTTCGCTCTTTCAGGCTAACCGGCTCAGACACAACAGGCCGACTGCCTTTGGACCAGGAAAGAAACAGAATCTGCCCTCGCACAGCGGTCTCGAGGTAACATCGAACCTCCCACGACCCATAACTCCTGATCTTCTCGAATTCCACTCAGCTTCCAGTCTCATACAGAAAGGATCGTTGCCAACTTCTCTTGGAGACCTCGAGGAGCTTGCAAGTCTCGTTCCATTGCTATCCCACTGGTTTGCTCCAAGCATGGCTTCCGAGTCTGGTGAAAAGCCGGGACCGAAAGACATGGCAGCTAGACGAACAGACACGCCACCCAGATCAATCTTCGACGATTACCAGTCTGCTTATCAGAGTATCATCTCTCCTGATCGAGCCTTCTCGGGAGCATCGAAGGTTGGCGAAGCTGCAAACTCTTCTAGTGCACTTTCCGATTTGTCTCCACCAAAGAACCCATTCGCTGACCTTTCTCCTCCTTCTCATGGCACACGGATCGCATCTCTTCCTGAATCAAGAGACAGACGCAGTTCTAGACTACCAAACAGCCCAAGGCCCAAGCGTAGAACAAATCTCTTGAGACCGATCAGCGTATCGCCTCCATCTGGTCATGCTATAAGACCCGCCAGCATGGTAAAGCATGATTCCAATTCAAGCTTTGATTTCGGCAGCCCCCGACGACTGAATCAGGATAGAAGTCCCAACACCAAGCAGCCAAACCTACATGGAGCTCGCGGCAGAGTAGAGAAATCCAGTATCATTGGGAGCATTGTGAAGAGACATGGCGATGGGTCTGACTGCAGAAAGAGGAGCACCGAGAGTGGTCGAGAGGTTGAAGTCGAAAATTCTCTTGACATTTCTAGCTCCCGCCAAAGCGTACTTGATGATCCAGATGTACTGAGATCGTCTCCTGCTGGCCAAGCACCGGCCATTCCACTTCCTCCGGATCCATCATGTGTTGTTGCCAAAGGTCTCATTGGTGAAACTCTATCTGAGATTTCTCTGTACGAGAACACCGAGAAGTTGCTTAATTTGACACAAGCAAGTGGCACAGATACTCCTGCAGGAAGAAAGGCTTCTGGATCACCAGTCAAACCTGCTAACAGCCAGAAAGGTGTCCTCACCAGCGAATTCTCTTGGATGGGCAATAAGGGCAAGACCAGCTTCCGTGACCTCTCCACTAAAGAGTTGAACCAGCTTCGAAAGTCGGTTCATGAGCAACCGGGAGAATTGACCAGCCAGAGTGTAATCGATCCCGTGGGCAACGAACCATACAATGATCAATATCTTCTTTCTAATGCAACGTATCAATCACCACCTGCAGGACAACGATCCACCACATCTGATGAGCTTGTAGAGGCTGACGCTCGCGTCGCCCAACTTCTTTCAGAGCGCCTCGCAACTCATTCATCCGAGCAAGAGCAAAAAAGCTTTAGTGAGCCGCCTGCTTCTGACCTGCAGAACCCCAAAGCTGGTGTGGATAACACGGGTGACCTTGATTCTGACTCTGTCCTCGACTTCGGTGGCCTTCAAAGCTCATCGAGTCGTGGCGTTAGCCTTGATGTCGCTCTCAAAGATGGGTTGTTTAGGCCAGGATTGTACATGGATGAAAGCTCTATGGTCTCTTTAGTTGGCCGTGAAAGCGCTGAAGCTGAACGATTGAGCGCTGTTGCAAAGGGTAAACAGGTTATTAGAAGCGTGAAGAGTGAGGAAGAAGACGATCTGTTCACCGAGGGAGACGGAAATGATGGTGGAGAGTGGGAAACCGTAGGAGAAAGTGGGATGCAAAGAGATCTGCATACCCAAGTATCCATCGGTCGTGACACCTCTGGAAGCAGCCTGGCAAATGTGTCCAGTAACGAAAGTGCTGAACAAATCAAGGCTGCTCCCTCACCCTGGGATCCATTGAGGTCGCATCCGACGTTCATCACACCACCAACGAAGGCTCTCGTTCACCGATATCGACGAAATGGTAAGACTTTAGAGGTTCAAGATCCAGCAACAGTGCCGAGATATGTCCCTCCGCATTCTGAAGGGCATCCACTGCCGAGACTGAATAGGATATCATCGCCTACCACTGCGTTGCCTAACATCGTAACACCACCAAATCAGTGCAGAACAGAGAATTCGCCTAGTTACCGCCACCCAACACCGCTTAGTGGTAAACACCAGAATCCATTCATCTCTTCGCCTCCCCCTGTCAACGTTAACACTCCAGGTTCATCTTTTGAGTTGAGCGAATTATCAAGTAAACGTACCGACAAACATCAGGCTATCCACGCTGACTCCCCTCATCCTCTACACCAAACGCACACTCCAACTCCAAACACGACCAATAATCATTCTGAAAATCCTTTTGACACAGAAGACACGTGTTCTGACGTTTCTGAGGACGGTTCTTACTTAACATTCTATCCCACAAATCTCACAGTGGATGGAAGCAGCATTCTTCACCCAAATTCGCAACACACACCCAAATCCGCAAAATCATACACACCCGGTTCTATCAAGAGAACAGAACATTATCTAACAGGAAGTCCAGGATGTAAGGTGTCTTTTTTCATATCAAAATACGCAGCTGATCTCCCTATTTAGTCAAAATGCCTGAATCACGACGCTATCAACGTATCCGTGAGGAATTAGGCTGTGACACAGGTGGCATTACCCGTGTTCCTGGCACGCAACAAACCGCGCCTCCCCGTGCACACATTGAGGAGGACCTTATCAGAGCTATGAACCCATTTCGCTCTGCCAACCCTCTGCCTGAGTAAGTATATCTATAGTCCTATTCTTACATATTTACTAACCCTATCTTAGCTTGCCAGCATCCAACGACTTTGGTTTGACCTTCAACAAACCTCTGACCCGCTCAAGCACAGACAATCAAATCGCTGAACGCATGATCATAGCTCAAGACAACATGAATATCCTCAAGAAGAAGTGTCCTGAATTCCCCTTCAACGACTCAATGCTCAAGCTCGTCTTCCGTAATAAAGATGGCACCGCAACAGATCGTCCCAAAGCTCTACGAGGCACAAAGTACGAAGAAGACGGCCGCATATTCGAGCAAGCCTGGTGTGATGTCCACAATCGCTGGGAATTCTCTCATGCTCCACGTCTCACCAAGCGAATCCCCAAAGACGACCCCAAGATCCAGCGGGAGATGGGACGGCGGATTGTCCTCTGGCTCTTCCTGTCAGTCATTGGCTGGCTTCCTCTTATCTTCTTCGTTGCCTGGGACCCCGGTCACGTCCGTGACGATGTGATGCGTGAGTGGACGAAGGGGACTTGCCAAACCTTCCACAAGAAGGAGATCCTCCTGGCCAGAATGCTGACCGGGTTTATTGGCGCGGTGGTGGCTGTGGCGTTGGCTTTGGTGGGCGTGTACCTTTAGGTACAGCTTGTTTGGAGTTGTGGAGAGGAAGCAGGAGGAGGTGGTGGTAGTGGTAGTGGTGGAGAGAGGAAGTTGGCCCAAATTGTGTATTTCTTAACAGGGCAGTAGCAGCACGGAGAATTGTTTTCCCGCCTCAAATGCCGAAGCCCTACTTAGGTAGGCATAAAAATGCGGTGAATTGTTGTTCCTTTCCGTGCTTTGACTCTTGTGATTGTGAAATTTTTGGCGAAATCTTTTGAAGTTCGTCCGCCAAGATGACCTATGGATGCCCTCCACGTGCTGACTTCAGGAGGTCTCCCTTACACAGTAGTTATCCCTATTCTGAATATCTTGGTGTGGATATTTGCATCATCTCATGGTCATCTGTTGGCCTACTGATGCCCTCCTGGTGCTTGGAAAGGAGTATTGAAAATCCATGAAATATACTGTGTTATAAGTTCACGGAAATTTCCCTGGTTTGTTATAGATCTAGGAAACCTTTGGATGACCCGGTGCACTCTTCATGCATTCTTCATGGTCTCTGGTTGCTTATGGATTACAAAGGTCCTTATGAGTAATGTTTCGGTATCCTGCACCAAATCTTGACCGCGCCTGCAATGGATAGGAGCAAATTGATTGATTCTACTATGGATGAGAGAAGAAGCTGCTGAGCAGCAGCAAGAGCTACTAACTAAGAGCTAACCGCCAAGCAAGCTAATGGATCCCACGTGACAGCGCCTTAGCACCTAGTAACTTGAGTTGGCCGTTTTAGGTGCCTGACTTAACGATTAGTTACCTGGCTCAACATCAGCTTAGCCTCTGTTTAAGCTGTACCACTATTGCTCCTTGTCAGAACATCCTTGGCACGACGTAAAAATGACGTGCAAAAGACAAGATCAGTATGTGTGAGTGAAGCGTATGAGTCTAACATACCCTGAGGGTGCCCTTCGATTTACTCTTAACTAACTGACCTAATCGCTTGGCAGGCCATGTCCCATCGCTACACAGGCGTATGCGCATGATTCCTATAATTGAAGTCGCAGGGTCTGGTGAGGTAGAGCATTTGTCTAACAAATTAGCCGAAGTTGCTCCGACAGCAAGCTTATGCTTACGAACCATCCTGCACATTAGCATTTAGCTCCTCCATAACGGGACTTGAAGTCTCTACTATGCGAGCTCTTAACGCCCGGCCCAAGATGCGGTCCTTTCAAAATACTTCCCAATCTATTCCAATCTCAGATTATCCGGCGCAAAAGGTCATAGATCACCGTTACACACAGTCGAAGTACAAACTGCGCGATCGACACGAGATCCGACTCTTCTCGCTAGCTCGTGGCTCACGGGATACTCCCATCGTGGGCTCGCTAGCTACGGTGCAAATAGGCGGACAAAGCGTCGATTCAACGGGAACAGATGACGCCCTATCTACGCCGGAGTATGAAGCTCTGTCATACTTCTGGGGGGAAGGGCGGGGCTGTGAAATCGCTCTCAACGGCCGACCATTCAAGGTCACGTCAAACCTGTTCTCTGCACTTCAACAGCTGAGGCTCGAAGATCGCGATCGAGTCCTCTGGATCGATGCGATTTGTATCAATCAGGATGACTATGAAGAAAGGGGCCACCAGGTGTCTTTGATGCGACGCATCTACGAAACGGCTGCTCATGTTATCATTTGGTTGGGAGATGCAAGTAAGCAGAGTAGCGAAGGTCTCGAGGAGCTTCGTAACCTCTTCACCGCAAGCTCTCGCTGGGATAAAGCCGAAATTTTGTTCGGCCGGAACCCGACTGAAGGTCTTCAGGACATTTTCACACGGCCGTGGTGGCGACGAATTTGGGTGGTACAGGAAGCCGCAGTCGCAATGAAACTCACATTTATTTGCGGCGCAGACATCCTCGAGGTGCCTGCGAACCGTGAAGATCTGAAGCAACTAACAGATGCACTCCAAAGCGCTCGCACATTACCCGGCAAAGACAACCCAGACGTTAGCTCCATCTTCCTGGACCAGATTCTAAGCCTCCTTCAACTACAGCTAGATCGAGGAGGGGCTGTGAGGTCTAGATTATCAGACCTTATCCACACATACATACTGCGCCAATGCTCCGATCCCCGGGACAGAGTCTTCGCTTTGCTTGGACTCTCGCGGACATCTGATGCATCTGCGAATCCCCCGGATTACGCTCTGACCGTTGAGGAAGTAGCGGTAAGACTACTCTGCCATGCAGCAAACGACATCGACGATGATGTCGTAGCCAGCAGAGATGTTTCAGGACCGCTTCAACTAGAGTCGCCCGACTTCCCAGACGACGACGCCTGGCAGCTGGAAAAGATATGCATGTCCTTGATCGGTAGGAACCGGCAGAACAGAGTCTTCAAGGCGTCGGGAAATTCGAACATCGATTTGAAGTGGTATTGCATTCCGCATATACCAGCGAAGCTTCAGTTTGCGGGAGTAATCGTAGACGCAGTTTCGTCCTTAGGTTCGGTTTCTGCCAATATCCAGGAACTGGTGAGTTGCTAGCCGAGTATCCGCCTGGAGCAGAACTTACAGGCACAGCAGAGTTTATTGTCGAGGACGTCGACGTGCTCCAAATGTCGTGATCAGGACCGCCATCGCCAACTTTTCACCCAAGATTTCAATCGATTTATGAACACTCGCGGACCTGCCAATACATTCAGGTGGGGATATCTCGTCACGGAGCGAGGGCACATTGCACTCGTTCCTTCGCAGAGCGCTCCTGGGGACAAAGTCTGCATCTTGCTGGGATTTCCATTACCTTTCGTTGTGAGACCGAGCAGTATAGATGGAGCCTATGATATCCTCGGCGAATGTTACAGACATGGCGTAATGAACAGCGAAGCGGTCGAATTTGAGGCAGCCGAGACAACTTTCGATGATAGCGTTTGGATCTGGGATCAAGGTTTTTTGCATCGGAAGAGGAGACACGCATTTTCGATATCAGATCGTTCTCGTGCGCGGCCAGGCTTATCCGGCGAAACCCAACTTGCTAGAGGATTGATCATTGAGAAGATTGTCTTGAATAGTTGGATACCGCCCGCTGGGCTTAGCTGAAAGAACGAGAGTGTGGATTCGCAAAGTGTTTTACCTGAGCTTCGGTTTTCGATCGTTGTCCGATTAGAGTTCAGGGATGGAAGGACCTGAATTGGTTGCGTCGGCTAATGTATAAGAAACCGCCTCGGCTTCTTGCACAGACTAAACTTTTCACTCTTCTTAATCTTGTTAAAGGCCTCGCCTTGCATCAGCTCGTCAACATAAGCATGTACCGCCAGCCAAAAATACTCCCCATTCCGCTTGGTTTTGCGCCGCAGAAGCGGCATAGGAAATCCGGAGACGATGCAAAGGATATCGCCGGACTAAACGGTGGAAGTAATGACTCCCATGGAGCCTTTTCCTGAGGTGAAGTCGACCAGATCGTGGCGGGCGAACTCCGAAGCATCGAACGTCCTCCGCTAGGAAGTGGTTGTGACCTGGGCGATCAGGAGATCCATGAGTGGGCGAGCGGCGATTTAATAGACACAGAAGTCAAATACTTCCAATACGTCGTGTAAGCCTCTATGCAACCGCACACCACATCATGCCATTCCGGCTCTGCATGATGGCCTAAATAGCTTGCTGCACAGTGCAAATCTCTGTGAGAACGAATCAAGAAAGGGGACACGTCAATCACGCCAGCAAAAGACAGCGCTTGTGGGTTTCGAACCACACTTAATTGATGTATCTCTACTGACTGCGTACGCTTGTCTTTCAGGTGTCCCAGTTCTTTATTAGTTACCAGGGGAGACGAGAGGAATGAAAATGACACTAAATATACGACTATGGGCAAAGTGGGTGGACCTCGAATTTCGCTGTAATGATCTGCAGATGTATCAAGGAGCTTTTTTCTCAATTGTATTCTTTCCTTGGATTTCCAGCAGTTCCCTGCCATAGAGCTCCTCCCCTACCATCGTGTTCTTGACCTCCCTAGTTCATCGTCCCTTCTCACCCTTCACCCTTCTCCCTTGTCAGGCATCTGGCTATATTGGCAAGCTGCAAGGATACCCACGTCTTTTTTCTCTCTCAATCTTGAGTAGAGTGATTTTCATGAGACCCATTTCACCTCCCCCTAGGGAGAGTCTTCCCAGCGGAGAACTATTCGGGGCTGCAAGCGTACCGTTTTTTACAGTATGATTCCCAGAAAAGGTTCTTACGAACAGGCAATACTACACAGAACACTTTGGTTAGATTTCGGAATTGCCTAGAAACTACAGACGATTCTAGTAAACCAGAATGCATTGTGTTTGAGCAGTAGCCGCCGATGACTTCCGGGTCGGGGTCTCTGAAAAGATCTTGGGGACCTTCTGACCTGGCTCAGAGACTCGAAACTTGTAGGCTGCTACATGGTCGGAGCCGGTCCGAGCCCCCGGCAAAGGACTCGCCAAGGAGGAAATGTAATGCCAAGCCATTAATTTTAAGCTTAAAATTCTGAATAAAAATAATTTCTATGAAATAGAAAGTATATTTTTAGAGTCTAAAATATAATGCTAAAGATGACGGACTGGCTCGGAGCTCGGCTCGGACCAAGAAGGTTAGGTTCGGGCCATGTAGCAGCCTACTCGAAACTCAGGATCAGAGATCTGGTTCGGCAGTGGCTGTGAAAGAAGATAACTGTCACCAATAGCGCAGTCTTCCCAACAATGGAAAGGGGCCACCTCTGACATCATATCAACCGCAAAGACTACTTCCCTGTCAGACAGGGAGATCTCGTCGAGCAACTACTAGTCTGCAGCTGGAGGAGAAGGAATGGATGCCGCATATGAACGAGGAAAGTGAGTGCTATGTGTAATCACCGGTGTCTTCTGCAGAGTGCGCGTCAGGAATTGGTAACTCTAAGACTAGAAACTCTTTCATCAGTCTGCTACAATTGAAGAGCTCTCATGGCCAGCAGTCCCAGCCATTGTAGCAAACTTCTTAAAGAAACCGCGTCGAACTCGCTGCACACTCACTCAAGTGGTCATGTGCAACAGCAGAGGAACAATACATCTACCACTCCACCAAAAGGACATCGCTTTTATGGCTACGAACCTAATTAGTAGACGTATTTTTCATAGCAGACTACAGCCAGCCCTATTCTAAGCACATTTAGTGAGCTACAGCGCACCAAAGTAAAGCTCCTTTTCAATTTCCACCTTGTCTGCTTGGCAGATCACTTTGATACTACATTTATTCGCTCAAGCAATAGTGGAACTCAGCGGACGAGGCAGAAGAGACTTGAAAGATCGTGACAGATAGGACTGCACTGTGATATCATACACTATGAATTTCCGATCAAAACTTTATGGCTTGATTGACGCCTGACAGGTCTTCAAGTCTGCGTTTATCTTGCTCCTCATCCTCCTTCGGAGCCACAACCAATCCAACCACCATGTTCACTATTTGTCCGCACAGCATCACTGCTGGCAGGATCTTTCTGAGCGCTGCTGGTATTGGCGATCCATTGCGGCATTCCAGAATACACAAAATAGCTGCAGCGACAAAATGTGCTAAAAAGAGCACGTCTTGATATCTATGTGGTTTCGATTGTGAATGAAGATCGACAAGGGAAATCCCCAAGATCGTGCAGGCGGCAACCAAGACTTCCGGTCTTGGATCCTGCCAGTGGGTCTGGGCAACCTTGATTGAACGCACCGTCAGCAGTCAAATTTTTGGAGCCGTAGATGTATACTCTCACAAGTGGTTGTATTGATCGATGTCCCATTGTCGCAGTGACAGCAGTAGTAGATTGTGGCATTGTGGACACTGGATTGTACCTTGCCATGAGAAATGCTGCACTGGTGGCAATTGCAATGGTCCCCAGTCGGCGAATGGATCGGAAGAGGGCACTCCATATTTGCTGACACTCCAGGCATGGAATAGGCATCCGACATTGATATCACTGATTCAAAGCAAGGAAATGGCGATGAATGTGTTTTCAAACGTTGTGGACAAAGAAGACGAGGGTGTATTGATAGATAAGATCTGTAGAATAAGCCAAAGCGAGGGTTATCAAGAGGTATGTTAAGAATATAACAACAATAAGTCTGTTCGGACATTCATGGTGGAATCAAGAACGATCTTATAAAGGAGAAAACGAGCGGTAGCGCCTCACTTCTGCCGTAGAAAATGGCAAGGCTGGACAACAGTGGTCGCATTTCCAGGGTTGCCTGATGGCGTTTCCAATCTGCCTTGGAACTTTCTGCAACTGCCTCGTTCATGCACCAATAAATTCATCCATGGCCTCTCCAGCATTGCCTCTCCAGCATTGCCTCTCCAGCATTGCCTCTCCAGCACCGCCTCTCCAGCATGGCCTCTCCAGCACTCCCCCTCCAGCAGAATCTCCCCTCAGCACCGCCTCTCCAGCATCACTTTCAAATTCCGGCGAAAACTTGACTCTGCCTTGCCATGCTTATACTTCTTGTCACGAAATCCGTATCGCCACTAATTCTACTCCAACCCTTCTACAGCTTCCCTCCACCCTTTCCTTCTTTCAGTTTCGAAAAATCTGGATCGAGCGTTTAACCAATTTGACAAGATATAGCATGACGGTCAGGGAGGTTAATATAGGTGACTGAGGTCTGGGCTGGCGTAACCCGTATGTGGTACGACAAAGTGGCTGACTGGTTCGCAGTACTGAAAGGATCCAACACCACCTGCTGTGCTGGCCAGGCCCGGTATCTTCCAGAAGCTGTTCTGATACTCCAAGGCGCTGGTAAGTGTTCAAACGTGTCCAGGCGTCCAGTCGCTAATTGCAATGTTACTCAAGAAGGTTTCCACGAGCGCATCAACCGCAAACTCCATTCATCGCCTCCACGAATGTGTTTCTCAGCTGATCAGATATCAATCTAAACCCAGAGAAAAGACGCGGCTTCTTTGTGGAAAGATTCAGGCCTTTCTGCTGCAAAATGGCTAGAAAATCCACTTCAAGTGAGACCTACACGGAAGGACGTAGCAGCAGATCCTACATCAAAGCTGCAAGCGGGGTTTCTACTCCTCGGTCGAGAGCAACATGGTCCGTTGTTAGAGGGATTAGAGACGCGAATGACGTACCCTACATGCAATTCAAGCTAGCAGTCCTCTCTTGCTTGTCTCTGGGTTGGGATCTGCTGACCATTTATGAAGCACATGTATCCTGGTCTGCTATCACCAGGTTCTTGGACACTATAGGATGTTGTTCACGCGGTTTCATGATCCTAACTTCAACCATACTCCTTCCCGGAACTCATGCTCTTCCAGTGGTTGCCAAAGAAAGCCCAAGTCGAGTTGCTGAAGCCATAGAACAGGAACTGGCTGGTTTTCTGAAAGCAGCAATCAGGGCCATTCCATTCGTGGGACTCTATGGTGGATTTTACTTGGCAATGCAACGGATGCCAACAGAGGACCATCTCAAAGAATACCGTATCGCATCCTTGATAGGATCGCTGCTTCCTTCGATCTTTCCCGATGCAAGATCGAGCGTGCCTCTTCAACTACTCGTTACAGGTGTGAGCAGCCATCTGATCTTCCGGTATGCGCAAGCCTGGTCTCCAGGCTTCTATCGAAACCCTCTTAGATTAGGGATTCTCTTTGTTGGGGCTTTCCTGCTGGATCTGGTGACTTGTCATCTCTCTGCGCCAAGTCAAGGCGTTGCTACAGCCCTCTTTTGGCAACTTCTCGCTTTGAGCTGTTGGTGTGTCTTGTTGACCCTAGACATTGTATCAGCATACAGGGTTCCATTCAGGACAACTCTACAGAGGCTCATTGAGTTTCTTGGTTAATTCGGCGCTGTATCTTCAAGACCAGAAGGTTAACACCCAGCAAGCAACAATTTTGGGGGACTGGTATTTACCCGGGTGTCTTGAAGAAGGCATACGGAGTATTAAGATGTACAGTTGCATTGTACGTTCGATATCAGCATCAGCCAAAATCCGGTCACGGCGCCAGTCCCCTAAAGACGGTGTTTTGAGACGCTACTCACTGTATAGAAGCCAGTAGAGTGCGGCACATAATAACCGACCAACCCAACTGGGTGCTAAGGCGCGATCAAGATTTAGGTACGAAAACTAGGTTATTATCTCGCCGTATAGAGCAAGATGATGAGGACAACAAACATTTAAAAATTGGCTCTTGATGAAGGGTTCACTGATGTAGCATTGCTGTTCGTTCTCTTAAAAAATGTTGAGCCCGGTTTCCCAACCTTTACCCCCGGTGCCCTCTTTGTGCTCGCGGGACGGGACGGGACTACGGCGGACTGTTATTGGGTTAACGACACATCCAAAATTTTGAACTCCGCACCAACTTCTCAACTCCACACCAACTCATTAACTCTACATAATGAACTTCTTTGGCTTCATCTTTCGGCTACTAGTCCCAGATACTACGTAGAAGTAGAAGTTCTCATCTGGGTGTCGTACACATCCCGTACGACTAAGCAGTGCTGGTGCAAAACGCTTAACAAAAATAAGAAAGCTTCGTACGTACCTTATTGTATCACAATAGGATTCCCTGCCGCCGCACCAGGCCCCTCGATAGCCCGTACGCCAACAATCTCAACATCAGAATCATCATCTGGTCCCCCAGACGAATCATCATCATCATTGTCCCAAAACCGTCCAAGATCCACAGGTACAGGCTCGAAGAATCTTCTCCTGCGAATTACGTGAGTGCGCTTGACGATCGGCGAGTCGGGATCGGGGTTTGAAGTCACCGCCTTCACGAAGATCTGGTTACGTAAGGCATCGGTGGATCCTAAGCTGACGGGGAAATACCAGGCAGAATAGAGAGCGGCCACTCGCGACGGATCAATGAACAGTGGAAGTTCTTCGGGTACTGGATGAGTCGAGCATATGTACGCGTTACTAAGATGCGAGAATGGCGGCCTCCATATTCGCGGGGACGTCATTTACGACCTTCTTGCCTAACAACACTGCAACGCAGTACTCTTGCTGGACGAATCCGATGTCTATGTCGAAGGTCGGTCACTTCATCAAATGATCTTTATACTCGAATGCCAGATATTATCAAGAAGGCAACCTGTCGGACCTTGCGGCTGCCTCGCGTTGCCACCTCCTAGAGCTCCCATCGGTGACTCAGATCTCCTAAGAGAACCATCCAACGCACACCTAGTGAGTATGTAGGCATCAAGGGGTAAACTGCGGCCGTGTCGGCCTGTACACGGCCCTACTCGTCCTGTAACTACCACTTCCCAAAGAGTTATGATTGCCTCACCTGCTGGTCGGAGCCGTGCCGGCAGCCACGATGCATGTCGGCGTGCCTCGATCAGAGGCCTGATAGTTCCTATCCATGGATGTTTTCCAAGGTGTACCGACATTAGTTCCCACACCCTATCATGATGGTGGTGTCAGTTGGCAAGGCATTGGTCCGAATACGTCTCGGCTCTTACCTAGTCCGGTTTGTGTCATCGTGCAATGTCAGTTGGACATTGGCGCTTGGGCTCGCTGTTCAAAGTCTTTGCAGGCTCTGAGACAGTATCTTCGTTCCTCCGTCCAACTGACTAGTAGACTGAGGCGGAGGTCAGTACGCTTTCCAGAATTCGGTAAACGAGCACTTCTCTTGTTTCTTTGTTCCGTGTTGGAGCATCCCAGGTTTTACCCACTCAGAAGCCCCAGTCGTCATTCTATCGACCGCATGCAAATGGTCAGCACCAAGTGCATCGCCGCCCATTATCAACGTCCATATAAACCTCCCAGGAGTTGTTCATCGTGGCGGCCCCTACAGGTGCAGAAGCCAAAGCAGGAGAATAGATCCATTTCAGGCCTTGGGTGTGTCTGATGCAATACCATCACGAAGACCTGAATAGCCTCCATCGGCTGCAGATGGTTTGGATTTCTCAAGATTTGACGGTGCCTTTGACCTGCCCATACTCTTACTGGAGGCTGGTCGTTTCTCTGATGAAGGGACGGCATCGTTCGCAGAGAAAGAGCAAGACCATCTATATGTCAGATTTAGCAATCGTTCCCATAGAATAGTTGATGTGATGCATATACATCCTGACTCGACAATCATCCCCCGCCGATGCGAACATTCCAGGGTCGCCAGGGTTCCATGCAACCGCATTCACACAATATGCATGTCCTCTGAGCTTCTGAATGAGGCAGCCGTTGTCTTTGTGCCAGACATATATCATGGAATCTAGACAAAATCAATTTCGCGTGCAACAATCTTTGGAATCACCTTGTATGGCTCACCTTCACTGCCACTTACAACAAAGTTTTCGGCTGATCCGCCAAAACAGCTTCGTATCATATAATTGCCCTGTGTCGCGCCTTCAAACGTCCTGATGGTATTTCCCGTCTCAATATCGAGCAACTTGGCTCCTCCGATAGCCAGATTGACGAGCATGTTGTTGCTATCGCGAGTGACACTTACGCATGTTAATTGGGCAGGAAATTTTTGGCTGTACTCTTTCTCGTAGGTGTGAACGTTGTAGACATAGAGGTGTCTTTCACCTGCTACCACGATTCGTTCACCATCAGGAGTGATCGCACAGTGTCGTGCACCTAAACCGCCGATCGTGTTCAAATTTTGGCCCAAGTCCGAAGGCCTCGCACTCCAGTGGCATATTGAAGAAGCCCCCCCAAAAGTTGATGTTATGAAGGAATGACCATCTGGTGCCCATGAAGCAGAGCTTACCCGGTGACCAAAGCAATCTAACGTCCGGAGACAACGACCAGTCTGGACATATTTTTAGTTTGCAGGAGTCTATACAAAGTGAGGCAGATACTTACAGGGACTTCCCACACATGGGCTTTCTCGTCTGTACTTATCAGCTTTGAATCGTCAGGACTCCACGTAACGTATGTCACCCCCCCTTCGTGTCTAGTCAGTCGATGTAATATGGTGAAAGTTGCGGTCTCGTAGATCAAGACGGTCTGATCTTTACTAGCTGTTGCCAATTTGGTACCATCATGTGAAAATTCCAAATGCCAAACCTCATCAGAGTGAGAATAAGTTGAAAGCTTCTCCCGGTCGACATAGACATCTAAAGAGATCTCATGCTTGTGTGTTTGGTTCCAACCTCGAGCATTCACCTCAGCGCCCTTGCCTAGCATCTGTACTGCCTTCGTGTACCCTCCTGATGATGTCGCCTGCAGCGCGTTGTTACACCGTTCACCTTGAGCATTCACCGCGGCAGCCTTGTCCAATATCATCTCTACCACCTTCTTGTGACCTCTTGATAATGCCGCCTGCAGCGCATTGCCATATACTTGATCTTGAGCATTCATCCCGACATTCTTGTTCACCAGCATTTGCACGATGTTCTCATGACCTCCCCTTGATGCCGCCTGCAATGCATTGCTATAGTCTTCCCGTTGAGCATTCACGTTGGCATACTTGTCCAGCAGCATCTGCACGACCTTCTCAAAACCTCCTACTGATGCGGCCTTCAATGCATTGCCATAGCGTCCACCTTGAGCATTGACTTTGGCTCCCCGGTCCAGCAGCATCTGCACCACCTTCTCGTGACCTTCTGCTGATGCTGCCTGTAGTGCATTGCCATAGCCTCCCCCTTGAGCATTCACATCGGCATTCTTGTCCAGCAGCATCTGCACCACCTTCTCGTGACCTTCTGCTGATGCTGCCTGTAGTGCATTGCCATAGCCTCCACCTTGAGCATTGACGTCAGCATTCTTGTCCAGCAGCATCTGCACCACCTTCTCATGACCTCCTACTGATGCCGCCTGCAGTGCGTTGTCATAGTATCCACCTTGAGCATTCACATCGGCATTCTTGTCCAGCATTATCTGCACGATCTTCTCATGACCTCCTACTGATGCCGCCTGCAATGCATTGCCATAGTGTCCCCCTTGAGCATTCACATCGGCATTCTTGTCCAGCAGCATCTGCACCACCTTCTCATGACCTCCTACTGATGCCCATAATATTGCCGTTCGACCTTCCTGATCGCCCAAGTTGACGTTATCCTTGTCGATCAAAATCTCTGGGAGTACCATATCATGCCCATTGAACGCTGCTAGCCGAAGCTCATTCATCTCTGGTTGAAAACCATGAGAACGCGTAGTCGCCCAGAATAATCGAAACCATAATTCAAATCGCTCACTGGTCGTATCATACAGCTGAAGTAAGGTAGTTATGAAGGAATCGTTTTCTTTGATTTCTGAACTTCGTAGATGGCCTGGCCAGTGCTCTGCTGAGTACGACAGAAATTTTTTCATGTCGCCTTTGTTGCTCTTACCTTCTATCTCATTACGGCTGTCTGTAATGCGGTCATACGAGACGTTCTCCTTTAGGTCCTTTAATAGTAAATATTTGACGCATATCCTTGTCATGAGCGTTTCTGTGCCGATACGGTCGAAACGGTGTTTCCATCCAGTATTTCTGGCCATAGTGATCTCACAAATCAGAAAGTCCCTTGCCGTCTGATGGATGAGATAGATCTTGGAATGGTTAATAAATATGAATAACCCACACCAATTGCGTATGTTCCGCTCCAGGTGATCTTTATCAATTCGAAAATCTGCAGCGGATCCAACATGTGATAAGGTGGCCATGTCAAGGGCTAGAGCCATCTCTCCGGTATTTAACGGACGACGGGCACCCACCACGATTTGCAGGATGGTTTTCACCGCCTCTTTCACCTTCCCTGTGACCTTCTCCAAGATCTTTTCGTATGCAGCCTCGACCGAGGATGGAACTGATTCGATCGATTCGTCGTCTGGCCGTAGACTACTTCTGTACGTCTCATATACATGATCGATAGCAAGATGAAGCCACAGGTACGTGCGATGTTCCATTTGCAGAAGCCTTTGCTCCAGTCGGTTCCTCGTCTCTTTTTTGAGCTCTAGCGTCACTGCCAGCTCTGAGACCCTCCCTCTGATCACCATATCGATTTCTTTCCGGATCTGTTCATTTTCATTCTCTCCACGCAAGCGTATCGCTGGAAGGGACGACATCATTTCCTGGAATCTTCTTTGGATGTCGTCGTAAGGTCGACTCGTGACTAGGAACTTCAGCCAATTTTTTCGTCGCCGAGATGACGCTGAATTTACGTAAAATTGGGACAACATGTTGATGAGTCGCCGTCGGTCGTCCTCTCGACATTCATCCAACGCGTCTAGTACGCAGGTCACATTACGCGCCTCTGGATCGGCGGTAGCGGCAAGAAATATCCGCCATAGTTCGCCTTCTTCTTGACTTAGCTTATGGTCATTTTTCTCATAAGCAGTAGCGGCGTGTCGAAGAAGACGGGGCTGGCTGTCAAAGAGCTGATGGAGCAGAGCGCATAAGCCAATGCTCAGTTTATCCTGCTTCTCGTTGTCTTTGAAGAAAAAGTAACAGACCCTATGGGTATTTGTATTTTGAAGCTCTTGGTCGATCAGAGATCTGGAGAGGACCGATTTTCCGCAGCCTGGATCTGCTGATATCCATAGAAGGTTATCTGCGCTACTTCTTGCCAGTCGATAAATTTCTCATGCCCAAGGACCCAGCGACATGTACCTGTAGCCCGATCAGGGTGGATATTCTTTTGCTGTTCATAACTGTCTAATTTGAAAGCAAGGTGGCATTTTCGGTCTTTCTCGTTCTGGTACTGTATCTCTTGCCTGCGGTAGTGGTCTGTCGCTGCTTCGATGTGGCCTTTTACAATATCTGGATTATAAGTCAACGTTGGGAGGTGCTCAAGATGGTACAATATTGTTATAAGAGGTATACACCATTGAGCTAAAGTGTACGACACTTCTAAATAGGAGTTTAGACCAATCACTTACCTAAGACTTGGTTGATTGGTTTCTCATTGGAGATCTGTTCTGCTGATACATAGATCAGTAGCTCTTTAGCATACACTGCTGCAGTGGCCGCCGCATATCTATGCCAGGCATTATTCTTATGGGAATCGGCATAGTCGCAAATGCCTCGAATAATGAGGCATGGAAAATTATTCATTAGCCCCGCCGCTTCCATCTCGACGCACAGGGCACCATAATCATCGCGGAGAAGGTCCCTCACAGCGGTATCTTTGACCACCTGATTTCCCGATGCAATGATTCCGTAGTGTACCTGTGGTTCCGTGCTACTGCGACTCCGGCGATGTAATTCGTGAGCCTTATCACACTGGTCGCAAGTATCGCTGCCTATCGAATGTGGGTAATTAGCCTGGTACAGACAGTCTTTGTCCGTACCCGGAAAGGCATAGCCGGTTGCTCGCATCTTAGGACGGCGTTTGAACATCTCAATAAGATAAGTGGACATCTTACTGTCTTCCAACTCATGATCTGCTTGTAGGGCATTTAGCGCTGTTAGGAGCACAGACGGTGGCGCATTGAGAGACCCTTTTTGCTGGAATTTCCCTCCCTCCAAGCTTTTGCCTTTGTCATAGTGAATCACACCGCCATTGGTGCCCATCGGCTGGCTCACTACCACATCTCCCAGTCTAATGTCCTTATCTTTATCCAAGTCGGGTATACCGCCTCCGATGCCGACCATTAGTCCAAATCTTAAGGCTTTGAACGTTCTCACCATATCCTTGGCAACGGAGGCTGCCGCCGCGGTGCCATCGACGCCTGCAGGCAAGCACGCGATGACCACGTTATGTTCGTGAACACGTCCCGCAAAGTAAGAGTTATGATCCTGCACGTCTTTGACCATAACCATTCCATGTTCCTCGTCCAAGGCGGCCCGAGCTGCCGCCATTTCGGTCTTCAGCGCACATATCAAACCCACATGATATTTATCGACCGGAAGCGGAGGCATCAGTGGTCGTAGGAGCTCCAAATCGTATGAAGCTGCGGCGATAAGAGGGCGGGATCTAGGTTTATGCCTAATCTGAGGGAGAGGCGTGTTATTTTTCACAGTGGGTACTGTTAATTCAAGCTGTAACAGTTTAAGTTACCATAGACAGTCTAGAGTACATCAGTATCAAGAATTATGAATCGCCACATGCTGCTGTCAAGAAGGTATTGGAAACTTAACAGGCTGCCGGGGCCAAGGCAGCAGAGGCTGAGCGTCTGACATGACGAACTAAAAGTAGTGATCAGAGTTGGCATTCTTACCTGTGGCCCAATAGATGGAGCTCTTCGAGCCCCACTTACAGGAATTGCATCCTTGTAAGCCCCTCGCTTTGCGAGTGGCCTACACCATACGCGAATCTTGGGGTAGACATTGTCCTTCCAATTGCTATCCAGTGTGGCAATTAGCGCTGACGATCGTTTAAGAGGGGTTCAAAATTACGGCGGACTGTTACTGTGCATTGCGAAAGTGTTGCAATTCCTTGGCGCTACCCTCGAATTGCTGGCGCCGCGGGGCAGAATTGCGGTGTGGGCAGAGGATGGCCATTTACCACCTAATTATCGTAGTAGAATGCCAAAAATTGCCCAGATAGTAAAATTGACTCTCTTGTGACCTTGCTGCCGAAATTTCGAGATAGAAAACCATGGTGTTGAATCGCGAGAAGCGTTCAAACGCAGGGAGAGCCCCACGGCGCCTTGATGACGCAGATAGAGATACCCCGCCAGCCTCTGCACAGTCAACAGGGGCGCAGAAGGTGATTTTGAGGGTTAGAGAGGAGTCTGTAGCATCTCAGGGCTCTAAGAGATCCTCCGAAAAGGGTTCTCCAGGGCCAGCAGGGCCAGCAGGGCCAGCAGGGCGTAAAAGAGCTGTATCAACGCAGCCTATCTCTCTGCGCCGTCAAGAGGATGTATCAACTGCTCCACCCTCCTCAGAGCTTGAATTTCTAGACGAAGAAAACGCGCAGGAT